GTCGTCACTTTTGGGGCTCGTCAAGCCTGAAAATGGAGGAAGTCTCAGGCGGGAGCCTCGTCTGTGAGTGAATTGGGAGGAAGTCTCAAGCGGGAGCTCCCTCCCTATGGGGCCCGCAGATCATGTTGGTAATCCGAGCGGGTCATCGGAAACCTGTAACCGTCGTCACTTTTGGGTTCCTCAAGCATGAATTTGGAGGAAGTCTCAGGCGGGAACCTCGTCTGTGAGTGAATTATGAGGAAGGCTCAGGCGGGAGCCCCCTCCCTATGGGGCCCGCAGATCATGTTGGTAATCCGAGCGGGTCATCGGAACCCTGTAACTGTCGTCACTTTTGGGCTCCTCAAGCCTGAATTTGGAGGAAGTCTCAGGCGGGAGCCTCGTCTTTGAGTGAATTGTGAGGAAGTCTCAGGCGGGAGCCCCCTCCCTATGGGGCCCGCAGATCATGTTGGTAATCCGAGCGGGTCATCGGAACCCTGTAACTGTCGTCACTTTTGGGCTCCTCAAGCCTGAATATGGAGGAAGTCTCAGGCGGTTTTGTCCAGGGCGGAGGCGAAGCAGCTCGCGGCAGAGCTGGGCTTCGTGCTGCCTTCCGCCTGAGCGCGGCTGCGCCTCGCTCGAAGCCCGCGGGGTTGTCCCAACGGCTTGGTCTTGCGAGCCAACGGCTCGCGGGGTTGTCCCGACAGCCTGGCCCGCGGGGTTGTCCCAACGGCTGCGCGACGTGACCAGTAGAGAACGCGCCTGTGCTGGCCGTGGCGGCGACGGCGCCGATGAACATCGACATGCGCGCTCATGCAACAGGAAGGGGAGGATGTGGCGGGGCGCGGAACAAACAGGGGGGCGAGGATGGGGACAACGTAAGGAGTGGAAGGGGGGCCCGCGCCAAGGCGACAGGAAATATACGCAGAAGAGACAGCCAGGACGCCTCACCAACCACGAGGACGACGGTGATGGTTTTTTTTCCTATTCCAGGGGGGGGGGACCAGAGGAATTCCTATGTGGGGGTTCCTCCGTCCGGAGTAATTTCCTGAGCGTCTTGGCGCCCTCTTGGGCCGTCTGGGGTGATGCTACGCGCCTTGGACCGATGATTCAGCGATTTTGGGAATTCCTGGACCCTTGTGAATGTGTCTTCGGAGGCTCCGAGCCAAGCCTGGGGAGCCCACGCTGCCGTGGAGGAGCTCAGTCTGGGGCCGTCCGGCTTCGGGTCGTCGCGGGGGTGGGGAGGGGGGGAATCATCTTACACGCTTAGAGACCGGCAGGGGCACGCCGGATTATAGAGGCGGTGGATCGGTTTCTTTGCGGTGACATTGTCGCTACGGGCGGGCTCCGTGCCAGTGCTTCGTGGCCCGCGCCCTACTTCCCGCCGTGCCTGCGTTGCGGGTACAATGCCTTCGGGAGGTCTCCGTTATAATTTCGCGGGGAGGGCTCCCGCGGGTCTCTCGGGGTCAGTGTCGAAGGTTCTTGGGGGCTGGTACGGGGCCGCTGTGAGTCCGGCGACGAGGACGACGACGATGAAAGGGTCATGGATGTTGATCGGGATCACGGGGTTGACCTCTCGGAGGCTCCCTGGAGGCTGGTCCGAGGCCTCTTGGGAGCCGTTTCGGGGCCTCTTGGGGCCTCTTTTGGACCTCTTGGTGGGTGCCTGGGGCCTCTTAAGGGGCCTCCTGGGGGTCCCTTGGGGCCTCTTGGGAGCTCTTAGAGCTCCTGGGGCCTCTTGGGGCCTCCTGGAGCTTTTTGGACCGCCCTCTTGGGCCCGTATCGGGGTCCTCTTGGACCGTGTTGGGCATCCTTTGGGCCGTTTTGGGCCCCTCTTCTGCCGTCGTGGGGCTCTCTTGGAGGCCTCCTGGGCTGTCTTGGAGCGCCCTTGGGGGCCTCTTGGGCCATCTTGGAGCGTCGGGAAGCGGAAAGGGCGGAACGGTTAAAAAGGTACGTTTTACGAAGGGAATGGGCCATTTTTCAGTCTGGGGGGCCCTCTTGGGACGCATCTTGGGGCCCTCTTGGGGTGTCTTGAAGGCTCCGGAGGCCGTCGGGAAACCGTCTGGAGGCCATCGTCGTCGTCTTCGACCGGTATTTTGGCGACTCGTTGCCTTCTTGGACCGTCTTGGGCGCCTCTTGGGGCCTTCTTGGCCCGTCTTCCGGCCCTCCATGCCCCGGTGGCGCGTTCGTAGGGGGCCGGGGGGGGGGGGGGTCGAATCTCCAGTTTGGGGTCTCTGGGGGGGGGTTATGAGGGGGGAACAATCTCACACGCCTAGAAACCCACAAGGGGTCGGCGGATTCAGGAGAATTGATGGTTGGTGGGGGCAGGGTTCGGATGTTGCCACCTAGCAGATCAGCCAGCGATGTATGTATCGCCGATCCCAGGTAATTGTCGCGCCCCGCTTGCGCCAGCCCCCCTTCGACCCTTTCATGATGGAGAGGGTGTCCTGGAGGAGAGATGTTCTAGATGTTTCTCGTCGCCTTCGGGCTTCCTGGGCTCTCCCCGGGCTTCGGGGCCGGGAAAAGGACGGCTCGGGGTGAAACATTTCCCCCCCCCCCCCCCCCCGCTAGCGTTTTTGTTAGAGGGTTTAGACTTCCTCTCGCCGGAATCTCTACAAAGGGGGGGGGGGCCCAGGAGGAGGCGTCTCCCAGGCCCGGCGGCGGCCCAGCAGAGCGGCTCGGCAGCGCTCACGATGGTGTTCTAGCTCGATTTGGTCCAGAGGTGAGGCTCGCTGTTGTGTTCTGGCTCCGTGTCGGCCCTCCCAGATCCGGAAATGAGACTCTGGCTCGATCTTCTTTCACCAGAATCTCAGGGCTCACTTCGATTCCTCCGATTTCATTCGATTCGACTTCGATGGCCTCCGATTTCGATTCGACTCGACTTAGGATTCCGATTCGGGCTCCGATTTCTCATTGGAGGCCTACCAACCTGCCGATTTCCGCCGATTTCCAGCCTGTTGACTTATCGATTCGAGTCTGGGTTCTCCTGGAATCTCCACAGGGGAGGCGGAGGGGAGGCGTCTCACCTGTGTGGCAGCTGTCCGGAATCGACTCCCTCTGGTGTTCTGGTTCCTTTTCAGCTTTCGCAGATCCAGAAAAAAAGGACTCACTCTAGTGTTCTGTGTCGATTTGGTTCAGAAATGTGGCTCACTATTGTATTCTGGCTCGATTTCAGATCTCCCAGATCCAGAGATGAGACTCAATATGGTGTTCTGTCAGAAATGAGACTCGCTCTTAGTGTTCTGGCTAGGTATCAGTTCAGAGGTTCTTCTCGGGGAGGCGGAGGGGAGGCGTCTCACCTGTGTGGCAGCTGTCCGGAATCGACTCCCTCTGGTGTTCTGGTTCCTTTTCAGCTTTCGCAGATCCAGAAAAAAAGGACTCACTCTAGTGTTCTGTGTCGATTTGGTTCAGAAATGTGGCTCACTATTGTATTCTGGCTCGATTTCAGATCTCCCAGATCCAGAGATGAGACTCAATATGGTGTTCTGTCAGAAATGAGACTCGCTCTTAGTGTTCTGGCTAGGTATCAGTTCAGAGGTTCTTCTCGCCAGGATCTCCACTGGGGTGCCGAGTGTTGTGGCTCGATTTCAGCCTTCGCAGATCCAGAAAGTTAGACTCGTTATGGTGTTCTGGCTCGATTTCAGCCGTCGCAGGTCCAGAAATCGTCACAGGGGCGTAGGGTTCTGACATTTCCACTTGTCCTAGGTCCAGAAAGTGTGGCATGGCCATCGGCTTCTCACCATACCAGCTGCCAGGAGTGGGGCCGCTCGGTCCCTAATGCTGTTTCAAGCGCGTTCGTGTCACCATGCCGACATCACGAACATCACCCTCATCAGCAGGGTCAGCTCCGTAATCGTACCGACAGTGTGATGAGGTCCTTTTCGCAAACCCACGTTTCAGGCGTTTGTCCCCCTCCGCACCTCGGCTGCTATCAGGGTGCCTTGCTGGGATGCGCATGGGTCCGGCGATCATCCGGATTACAATCCGGGCGCTGAAAAAGGAACCCTTTTCGTGGGGGAGGGGCTCGGTTTTCCTTATTGTTCCACACCTTGCCCAAGGTTTTCCTTCAGTTTTGGATGGGAAGCCGAAGGATCGCTTATGAAAAACAATGGGCCTCGTTCCTTATGCGGGGCTCCTTAGGTCAACGCCTCGACTGTATCGGGCCCGCCCCCCCCCCCCCCCCCCCTCGGAGTCCCCGACCATGTCGGCTGCGCAGGTCCGACACGGGTGCGCAGCACTGGCGCGCGGGGGCCTGCGTAGGGCTGCCCGGGTCTCCCCGTCCCCGTAATTGAACATCCCACTACTGGTAACAAATATTATTATCCAGTACAACTATATAATGATGCCACAGGCAATAATCTACAAAAAGGTGATACTACACCGTAAGGTTATCGGCGGGCGCGTCCCCGCCTCCCCCATTGGATAGCGGGGGTTATCGCAGGGAAAGCCACAGCATTATTCCAGATTGGCCCCGGTGCCAATCATTCACCACCCACCAAACCACCCCAATCCAACCCGAAACCCCCGATTTTCCCTCCATTTCCAGTGGGGGGGGGTCGGGGAACGTGGAAAAAACACATGGAACCCGTACGCCCCCCCAGCCCGAAATTCGGGTCAAATTCGGGTCTTCGGGTTGGGTTGGGGTGGTTTGGTAGGTAGTCGGTCGCCGCGGTCCAGGGCCAGTTTTCGCCAGGATCTCCCCACGTCGTGCCCGAGGCGAGGGCGCTCCCGCCTTTTCCCCTCCAAGCCGGCGGCCGGCGGCCGGCCCCAAGTGCCGCGGAGGACATGGGCAGGGTGGGGGAGCAAATGGAGAGTGGCTTTTTGGGTGCGCGCGTCCACGATGGCGGCGAGTGCGCTGGTAGGCGTCGTGTTCCCTAGTCGCGAGGCGATCCATGGTTCTCGCATTTCGGTTGTGGACAGGCCTGCTGCGCCGCCGTGGCACTTGAGGGGGAGGACGATTTGAAAAGGTATAGGAGGAGGGGAAAATTGAGGAGAGGGAGGATGAGGGGGGAGGAGGAATATGGGATCCTGCAGGACGCGTCTTGCATGATGACCAGCCCGTTGTTCGCGGGCCTGAAGCGCGTGGCCGACGCGGCTGGGTCGCAAGTCTTGGGCGAGCACAAGAAGAAGGTTCAGGCTTGGGGGGCCCGTCTGCGAACACACAGTCGGAAAGGAAGGTATCAGAACATGTTCGCCCAGTTCGGAGTTATTGAAGGCGGCCGCGGCGAATCACCGCCGCCCCTTGCCTTCTGGAAGCGCCTGTGTGGCGAATTATCGAGCGAATGTACGGCCGTGCTGATGGAGTGTGCGCTCCCCCAGCGCTTTGGGAAACCATTGGCGGGGGAACACTGGGGGAGGGGCTGTCTGCGGTCATCCTGGGGTCTCATGGGGCCCTCGTCGGACCAGTTTGGGTTTCTTGGGTGCTAATGGATTGTGCGCTCCCCCAGCGCTTTGGGAAACCATCGGGGGAACACTGGGCAGTGGCTCTCTGCGGTCATCCTGGGGCCTGGGGTTGGCGTGGGGTGGGGGGGTGGGGGGGCTCTCGCACTGGGGTCCCCACGGGGGGAACACTGGGGTCTGGGGCCCCCGCTGGGGAAACACTGGCCCCCCCCCACCATGTGGGAAGCCACCGGGGGAACACTGGAGCAGGGCTCTCTGCGGTCATTCTGGGGTCTCTTTGGGGCCCTCGTCGGGCCATTTGGGCTTTCTCGGGGGCTTCCTTGCGGCTCTCTTGGGCCAGCTTCGGGCTCCCCTTGGCTGTCCTGGGGTGCTCCCGGGCCCTCTGGCGCCCTCGGGGGGCCATCCTGGGAGCCTTTTGGGGCTCCCTAGGGCCTTCCTGGGACTCTCTTGGGCCGTCTGGGAACCCTTTCGTGGGCTGCTGGGAGGCCCAGCGGAGGTACGTCCCACGCGGATCACCTCGGGGGGCTTTGCGATCTGCACAACTGTCGCCACTTTCGTGGGCTGCTGGGAGGCCCAGCGGAGGTACGTCCCACGCGGATCACCTCGGTACCTCGCCGCCCCCTGGGGGGCTTGCGATCTGCGCAACTGTAGCCACTTTCGTGGGCCCCTGCGAGGCCCAGCGGAGGTACGTCCCACGCGGATCACCTCGGTACCTCGCCGGCCCCTGGAGGGCTTTGCGATCTGCGCAATTGTCGCCACTTTCGTGGGCTCCTGGGGGGCCCAGCGGAGGTACGTCCCACGCGGATCACCTCGGCACCTCGCCGCCCCCTGGGGGGCTTTGCGATTTGCACAATTGTCGCCACTTTCGTGGGCTGCTGGGAGGCCCAGCGGAGGTACGTCCCACGCGGTTCACCTCGGTACCTCGCCGCCCCCTGGGGGGCTTGCGATCTGCGCAACTGTAGCCACTTTCGTGGGCTGCTGGGAGGCCGAGCGGAGGTACGTCCCAAGCGGATCACCTCGGTACCTCGCCGCCCCCTGGGGGGCTTGCGATCTGCGCAACTCTCGCCACTTTCGTGGGCTGCTGGGAGGCCCAGCGGACGTAACTCCCACGCGGTGACTGGGTGCTCCTGCTTATCCTCGAGGCCGCGAGCTTTTGCTTCCACTTTTGGGTTCTTTTCTTTGGGTTCGCTGCCGCGCCGTTTTGTCTCCACTTTTGGGTGAGTCTCCGCCCCCGTTATGCACCTCATGCATTTGCCTTTTTCAGCGCAGCGCGTTGCTGAGTTAAACCGATGTTCTTGTTTAGCCCTCGCCGCCCCCCGCTTTTGTGTTTCTTTCAACGCCCTTGTGCTGCCATTTTGTATGGTTGCTGTTCCTCTTCTCGATGCTCTCTTCTGATTTCAATCCTGAGTGTTCTCCTGGCGCACTGCGGGTCCTTCAGAATGCCAGTCAGCATTGAGTGGTCCTGAGTATAAACGCCACGTGTATAAAAAGGGTTGGGTACGTCGCAGGGTAATTTTCATGTTTCTTCCAAAATCCGCCTCTAGGGGGACTGCCCGACCTAAGCATATGTGCCTTCTGCGTGCTTTCCTCACCGTCCTCCCCGAGAAGTGCGGACAGGTGGAGGGGGTGGGGCCAGATTTTGGGGCCTTCCACAGGTGCCCTGGGCGGACCTGCAGGACGACGTGGAGAGCGAGTGCTCGACGTTTGCGCTGAGCTCCATCGACGGCCACCTCTCCTCAGACGCCGCGTCCGAGAAACACTCCGAGTCCTCGAACAAGCGCATCTCCGCTCAGCCATGGTCCTCAGTGTTTTGTATATTGAACCAAATCCTCGGAAGACAGCCGTGCTCATCTAACTCATCTGTGTAGACTGGAGGCTGGGGGCGTGGCATCCGCTGTGCCCGCCCACTATGAGGTCTTAACTGCAGTTTCGTGGCCCGTGAGCTAAACATAAACAGGATCGTTAAGCGCCGAAGCTGAATCGCCAACGCCAAATCCAACACCGAAGTCAGACGACAACGCGACTGCGAAAGTGCAAGTCAGAGCTACAGCTGAAGCTTGAGCTGAGCTGAGTTACGCGAAGGCTAAGTCTAAGTCCAAAGCGAAGGCCAAGCGTCATCAGCATCTGAATTCCCATCAGTACGGAAGCAACTCGAAGTACGAACGGCATGTGAAACGCATGAGCTGTTCGTGATATCCCCCGTGTGCGCTTTGGGGGGTGGACCAAATTTGACGATGTTTGGCCTCATCTCTCTCGCTTCCTATTCTATCTCGTGTTGCAGAGACAGAAATTCCTCAGGTAGCGGAATCATTGTTTTTTGTACGTGACTATCATGTCCATTTGTTATTTCTGCTTCCTCCGTCCTATTCTGAGATCGCATGTTTTTGTGATTGGGGAAAAACGAGTTGTAAGATCGTGAGGAGTCATTGGATAAGAAATCCAGGGTCTCATAGCCAGCAGAGGGATCGTCGTCCATGGTGGAGCGGTCGCGGACGTGATCCTGGGGGAGCGCTCTTAGAGCAGCACTCCGCGGTACTCGCTGTAGCCTCACATGCCTCCGTCGCTGCGTGCTGTCAGGAGGGTGTTTTTTTGTACCCTCTGGGCCATAACGCGCGCTATGCCCCCTACCCTCCCCCCCTCCACCCCCCCCATAACGTAACGCTCCCGCCCCTCAGTGCGTCCCCGGCACTGCCGCAGTGCGTCCGGCACCACAGTCTGGGGGGGGGGGCGCCCCGTCATGCCCCCTCCGTCCCCCCCCTCCTACCCCATACCGCCCGTCATGGCCACGAATAAACAATGCGCTCCAGTTGCGCTTCTTGTGTCGGCCGTGTCCGCTTCTCTATCTTCCCTGGCCCGCCACATGTTGTCTCGCCACCTTTGGCTTTTCGCCAACCTCTCGGCGAGCTCCGCGACGACAGGGAGCGCACCACGCGTTGGACGTCCTGCAGTAAATGCGCGGCCCCACACCCACCTCCACCCCAGAGCCAGACAAACGCTTATCGGCGTCACCCCGACATACTGATACTATGTGTACGTCGCCCCCCCAGATACTGCACTATGGGTATACTGTATACTATATGTTCGGGTCGGATGCGCGCCTCCCAGGAGGACATATGCATTAGTATGTCGCTGTGCGTCCCAGCTTAGACCCCACGCCTGCTGGCGTAGCACCGAAGAAAGAGCATCACCTTGACATGGCCTGACTGGCATCAGTCGGGACAGCCATTCGAGCCAGTTCCAGCCACGGCGACGACGGGCCACTGTGGCAGCCAGGGAAGGCCAATTGAAAACGATTACGAGGGCAGAGCCAGCCATCCATGCCTGTAATCAAACTAGCTGCCCAAACACTTGTCGGAATTATACAACTGATAGTCCAGCATTTGGCCGATCAGGCAGGGGCCTGTCGCTGATCCATCGGCGATGCATCGCTGATCCCAGATCGATGCTTCCCCCTCTGACGCCAGTCCTCTGGAGGTTTCTGGCCCATAACTCGGGCCTGGCGGCCGTTCGGGACGATTTGGGGACCCCCCTGAGCGCTCTTGGCGAGGCGCGGCCACTGGAAGGCACACCGAGGTTGGAAAGTCGCCGAGGACCAACGAAGCCGGCCGAAAACCTGAGACCTCGAGCCTCGAAAATCTCCCAAACTCGCGCCTCGAAGCTGCCGTTGCCCCCCGGTGCCAGTCTCCAAGGTCCCGCTCGATGCTCGCGGACGGGCTGGTGGCGGTGCCCGAGGAGAGGGAGGAGGACGACGCGAAGCACGCCCTCGCGTGGGCCCAGCCGGGCTCCATCATCGAGGCGCGCCCCAGGGTCGGCGGGCCCCCCCCCCCTCCCCTGGAGGGGCTCTGCGCCAACCGAGAGCTCGGGGCCCAGGCCCCCGTGGAGGCACGGCAGGCAGCACGGCGGGAGGCGTGTCGCTCTCTTCGGCCTCTGGGGGCCCTCCCCGGGCCTCGGGGCCGTCCGCAGGACGGCTCAGGACGAGAAGCCGGTCCCGGGGGCTGGGTCGAGACTGTGGGGGGTCGGCGTCACGAAGAAGGCAGGGCGTCGGGGGTCGGGGGGGGGGCGGGGGCCGGGTGGACACTCGGGGGTCGGTCGGGGGAGGGAGGAGGGACACCACCACCGCCAGGGGGGGCCACCTCCCGCGAGGAGGTCCACGACGTTTTCCCGGGCTGGGGATGGTGGGCGTCTCGAGCGAGAGGGTCCGCTGGAGGGGTCCAGCGCCGATCCGAGAAGTCCACGCGCACCGTCGGCAGTACCTGTTTATGCAGATTTCTCTTCTCAGTCGAGCAGGCCCCAGCTGGGCGCACCGCAGTCGTAATCCGCAGACTACGCCGCTACGCCGCCGTTCGGCCGCCGCCGTGTCTGGGCCTGGCGAGTCACGCCTGCGTGTTCCTGGGCCCCCCTTGCACTCGAGAGGGGGCGGGCGGCCGCCGAGGTGGTCGGCACGTACCCGTCAGGAGGGCATGCCGTGATCACCGAGGTCAACAGCGAGGACCTGCCGACGGGAAGCCGAATTGGCGGCCTCCTCAGACCCCCTCGAGTCATGAAGCCATCACGGTGGGTTTTTTTCGCTATTTTCGGCCCCTTGGGGTCCCTACCAGGTCTCGGGGCCGTCTGGGTCGGGGGGGGTCATTGGCCAGTGCCTCCTCCTTCCCTGGAAGATGGAGCACAGGGGGGGGATGTTCCTGCTTGCAAGCTCCCCTGGCGCCCCCGCCCCCGCCACGCCTACGGTAGGTTCGCGCCGTGTCGACCTGCTGCGACCCCAGCGCGGGCGTGTCAGATGGAACGCCGCCCGTGGCACAGACTCGGCCCATCGTTAAACACGATTCGGCGTTTCTCAAAAGGCCGACCGTTCAAAGTTTGAACGACCTCCGCGGTGTCCGGAACCAACGCCGGGGTCGACACGACGCGAGCCTGCAGTGCCCAGCGGCTTTCGGCCAGCGCCAGAGGAGGGCACCTTCCGGATTCAGCTCATGCGCGACGGTCAGCTCACCCGCCGTCGCAGGACGATCAAGTGCAAGCACGCCCGCCTCGTGCAGCACGCGGGGGCGCAGGCATCGGATTGAGTCAGTCGCAGCGCGCCGGAGCTGCGTCGCCTCTTGAGCCTCGCGTTTGTCTGCTTGCGCCCGCGCGGAGCACTACGGCCACGGCAGGCGGTTCCAGACATGGGACAGTCGCCGGGGCGTCAGTCAGCAATCGGGGGACCAAGAAGGTAGGAGTTGGAGTGGCACCACCAGGTTGTGTGCCTCTTTCTCCGTGGAACTGCTCAGCTCAGGAACAAACAACAAGTGGAACAGGGTGGGACGAGAAGGTCAGACTCACCAATTTGTCAAACGCACTCACTGGTAGCCAGGTCAAATGTCACCGCCCTCACAATCACGATCACGAGTCTCTGCACCCGAGCGTCTTTTCCATGTTGTGCGTCGCAAACTGACACCATGGTATTTCTATTTGGTGGAGTTGCACGAATTCATGATGCATATGATCTATGCCACCGTGAAGCTTGGATTCTGTGCTTTCTCGAGATCTGCCCCCCCCCCCCCCCCCCCCACCCCACACGCATAATTACCCAGATGTCGGGCTCCATGGAGTTCAAACCAGGCATTCCCACATCAGTGTTTTTGGTTGTAACACAATTATTATAATGTACCTCGGGTTGCCCAAAACCAGTGGAAGTCCACCAGATCTGGTGTGTTTGTTGGTTCCATGAGTGCCACGACCTCATGGTCCTGGGGTGTTGTCCGCGTGAGTCCTCTGGAGCTTTCTACTTATTTATTCGGTTCACAGGTGGTGCGCGGACAGGGAAGATCGTCTTATACAGCTTTGGCGCGGCCCCAGGGGTTTCTTGGATGCCTTGCCGTTCATCGTTGCCTCTGAGTGAGATTTCAGGAGGCTTGGGGGGCTTATCTGAAGTGCTTAAAGACAGCAGGCCTACATCAGCGGACTGATATACCACCTACACGACCACCCTTCGGGTGATAAGGAGGTTCGGGGGGCGGGAGGAACCAACGTCTCACCCAATCTATCTCACTATCGAGCGCACAATCAATCTCACTACCGATCCCACTATCGATCTCACAATCGATCGCACTATCCCTATCACTATTGATCTCACTACCAATCTCACTGTCGATCTCGCTATCGATCTCGCTCGATGGATAGTACTATTCCTCTCACCACCGATAGGACCACCCTGCGGGTGATAATGAGGACGGGGGGGGAGAAGGGAGAGGCGGTCGATTTGCGATGGCTCTGGGTTCTTTGGTGGTTTCCCATAACTTTTTTACAGTCGCGCACATCTGACCATCTATCTATCGATCTATCTATCTAATTATGGGTTTAGGACAAACATCTATCTCTATCTCTATCTCTATCTACCAATCAATACATCAGTCTATCAGTCTACCAATCAATCAGTCAATGACACTATCTATCGATGTATCTATGTATATTATATATCTATTTATATATATATATCTATTTCTAGATTCATATCATATCTTTCTTATGCGTACACATATAACTCTCTCTCTATACCTGTCTCTCTGTCGATCTCTCCAGCTATATGGTTACTATGTATCTCTCTCTGTTTCTCTCTCTCTCTCTATGTTTATATATATATATAAATCTAGCAATCTATCTATCTATCAACCATCGGGACAACCATCGGGACAACCATCGGGACAACCATCGGGACAACCATCGGGATAACCGACTAGGTACACATATTAACCTATCTGTCTATCCTTCTATCAACCATCGGGACAACCATCGGGACAACCATCGGGACAACCATCGGGACAACATGTAACAGCATCTATAAATCTATCTATCTATGTATCAACCATCCGGACAACCATCGGGACAACCATCGGGACAACCATCGGGACAACCATCGGGACAACCATCGGGAAAACCATCGGGACAACCATCGGGACAACCATCGGGACAACCATCGGGACAACCATCGGGGCAACCATCGGGACAACCATCGGGACAACCATCGGGGCAACCATCGGGACAACCATCGGGACAACCATCGGGACAACCATCGGGACAACCATCGGGGCAACCATCGGGACAACCATCGGGACAACCATCGTGACAACCACAACAATCGGGACAACCGCCGGGACAACCGCCTGGACAACCAGGGGCCACGCCCAGCGCTCGGGGGGCGTTCCCTTTGGCAACAAATGGGCTCCACTAACGATGGAACTCGCGCAGCTTCGCCTCGCCCGTACGCACGACACGAACCGAAACAGTCCCGGTTGGGGTCACTTCCGTTCCAACCCCCCAACCTCCGATCGATCTCACTACCGATCTTACTATCGATCTCATTATTGATATCACAGTCAATCGCACCATTGATCTCTCTATCGATCGTACGAGCGACCCAACTATCGATCGAACTATCGATCTCACTATAGATCTCACAATCGATCTCACTATCGATCTCACTACGGGACACAGGGGACACCGACTGGACACCGACGGAACAAGTGGGACACCGACGGGGACACCGAAGCGACACCGACGGGACACAAGGTGGGACACCGACGGGACACAGGCGGGAGACCCGCCGGACACCCCCGGCCACTGCCGGACAACCTAGGGGGAGCGGTCACTTGGCCCTGCGGCGCCCTAGCCATGTGAGGGTGCATTCCTTCCGCCCGCCCACGCAGCCTCGCCTCGCCCGCACGCGCGACACGAGCACGAAGCCGAGACCGATTTCCCGGTGGTGGTCTCTCCGTTTCACTGCGAGCTCACCCCCCACCTCCGATCTCGCGTTCTGGTTCAGAGAGGAGCAGTATTCCATATTTCCCCTGTCAGCTTGCTGGGCATCATCTCTTTATTCCCGCCTTCGCAGCTGGACAGGCAGGCACACAAGCTTCGGGCAGCGCATGGCGGGGAGTTTTCCTTTCGCCGTCGCCCATGATACCTAACTTTTCGTTACTTTTACCTGCGGCTGCGGGTGCGCGTCTGCAACACGCTCTGCATTTAATTCCACCTTCTTCTGTTCTCATGGGAGGGAGGGGTGCTTGCATAGACACAGTGAGATGCGGTAGGCGTATGCAATCGGTCCATGTGGTGCAAAAGTCATGCACATTCAACTTGCACATCTGCATCTGTGCGTGTGTGTATACATATGTATATATATATACACATGTGTATCTACGTGTGTGTGTGTGTGTGCGTCTGTGCGTGTTTGTGTGTGTGTGTGAACCAGTCTGGACCCCACACAGTAGGCTCCTGCACCCTCGATGTGCCATCTATGCGTTGCAACAGGTGTCATGCGTTCTGAGTGTGTTGCAATTTACGTGTTGCAAGCTACGTGTTGAGCAATCTGTGGTGCACGCTATGCGGTGCCATCAATGTGGTGCAAGCTATGTGGTGCAAGCCACACGGTGAAAGCTGTGTGATAGAAGCTGCGCAGGGCAAACATTCGAGGCGCAGGCCATGCGCTGCAGGCGAGGCGGTGCAGTCTGCCCGTGGTGCAAGACAGGCGGTGCAGGCCACGCGGTGACAGCTGCGAGGTGCGGGCCTTGTGATGCGGGCTGTGTGGTGCAGGCAATGCGGTGCGAAGGGGCGCGCGCGAGGCGCCCACGCGCGCGCACGGGCGGGCACCCAGGCAAGCGCCCGCCATACCCACCCATCGCACGGGGGCCCACGGGGCGCCCGCGGGAGATGGGTACGAGCGTGCACCGGGCGTGCCAGCCGTGCACCTGGCGTAAGCGTGACCCGCCTGCTCCACTACTCACGAGAGGGGAGTGCGAACCCCTGAGTGCAGGCACGGTTCGGGCAGCGGCCAGAGATACAGCTACACGCGCGAGCAAGTTTATGTGGCGATATTTGCACTACACGTGCGCTCATCTATATACACACATTTCGATGTTACACACATGCGCGTGCACATGTTGTATGTATGTATGTACGTATGGATGTATGCATGTATGCATGTATGCATGTATGCATGCATATATATATATATGTTTGTATGTCTATATACATATGCATGTATGCATATTTACAGTAGGTATGTATGTATGCATGCATGCATTCATACACGCATATAATATACGTCTGTATGTTTGTATGTATGCATGCATGCATGCATGCATGTCTGTATGCATGTATGTATGTATGTATGCATGCATGCATGCATGCATGCATGGATGTCTGTCTGTCTGTCTGTCTGTCTGTCTGTCTGTCTGTCTGTCTGTCTGTCTGTCTGTCTGTCTGTCTGTATGTATGTATGTATGTATGTATGTATGTATGTATATATGTATGTATGCGTGTACATATCTCTATATATGTGTATGTATGTATGCATGCATGCAGGTATATATGTATGTATGGATGCATGCATGCATGTATACATATAACAGCGCACCGGGTCCGGGCGCCCGGGGCCGGCGCCGCTAGCGCAAATGTGGGCTCCGGGGCCCTCGGGGAGCCCCGGGGCCTCACAGAAAGCCGCCAGAAGGCGCCAAGGAGGCCCCAAGAGGCTCCAGAACAGACCCGGGACGCCCGAAGGTCGCTCCCAGACGCCCAACATGGCCTCCAAGGCGGCTTCAGAAGCCCCCAAGACACCCCAAGCGACCCCCAATAGGGCCCCAAAGAGAGCCCCAAGGGGCCCAAATAGCCCCATTCCCTTCGTAAACGTATATGTTTAACATATTGCTTGTTTTCGCTGTCGGTCCGTGCTTGACGACCTCAGAAGCTCCCAAGACTGCCCCAATACAGCCCAGGACGCGCCCCAGAGGGCCCCAATACAGCCCCAGAAAGCTCCAGGTCGGCCCACGAAGGGCCCAAGACGGCCCAAGAGAGCCAAGACGGGCCTGAGAGGGCCCCAGAGGAGGAAAGCCACCATCGAATTCCAAGCTTTCGACCCCAAGTGGCTCCAGGAGGCGCCGAGAAGCCCCCAAGAAGCGCCCGGAAGGCTCCCAAAAGCACCCCAAGACGCTCCAAGAGGCACCCCAAGGGAGCTCCAAGAAGCAAAAATCGTTTCATTCCTGTGGGAGAACGTCTATTTTTCGTATGTTCGCCTGTTGGGCTGTCATCGCGTCCAAGACGGCCCAAGGGGTTTCCAACGGCCTATATACATATATATATATATGTATATATATATATATGTATATGTATATATATATATGTATATATATATATATATATATATATTCTCATACGCACCTCTCCGAGGGAGTAGAGCTCAGAGGGGATTAATGCGTCCGTGCGTCCGTGCGTGCGTGCGTCTTCGATTTTCCCGGCCGTTTCGCTAGGGACATCCTCAAAATTCTGAAAATCGGTGGCACCCCTCACGCAGATCGTGAAGGAGAGGTCCAAAAACACATAGGATTTTCAACATTCTTGCTTCAACGATTCAAAGACACAATGTATTTTGAATGATTCTGAGCTCCTCTATAGGAGAATCGCTGTTTCGCCTGAGACATCCTCCCCAAATCGGGCCTTTGTCGAGCCATCTTTGAGCAACCTGGCCGTTTCGCTACGGACATCCTCGAAACTCAGAAACTGGGGGGCACCCCTCACGCAGATCGTGAAGGAGAGGTCCAAAAGCATATTGGATTTTGAGTATACCCACCTCCCTCCTTCAGAGACGCCACACCAGAATCCCCATCCAAGAGGAAAGCACCATGCACGCTAGGCCCAAATCCCCGGCCGCACCGGGAACATCCACCCGTCGCACGGACGTCCGCCCAGCACGTTAGGCCAAAAACCCCGGCCGCACCGGGAGCATCCACCCTTCGCACGGACGTCTGCCCAGCACGTTAGGCCAAAATCCCCGGCCGCATTGGGCGTGCTGCAACAACAAGCGGCATACACGTCGGGGTTGCGAATGACGTCAGCGACGTCAGGCCAAAATCCCTGGCCGTGAGGACGACCCTGCGTGGAGCATCCGAAACGCCCGCTTCGACGACAGGGCTGAAACAGACAGCGGCAACACAGCCCACCCGCTGCAGAGACGCCGCACCAGAATCCCCATCCAAGAGGAAAGCACCATGCACGTTAGGCCAGAATCCCCGGCCGCACCGGGAGCATCCACCCGTCGCACGGGCGTCCGCCCAGCACGTTAGGCCAAAATCCCCGGCCGCACCGGGAGCATCCACCCGTCGTGCGGACGTCCGCCCAGCACGTTAGGCCAAAATCCCCGGCCGCACTGGGCGTGCTACAACAACAAGCGGCATACACGTCGGGGTTGCGAATGACGTCAGCGACGTCAGGCCAAAATCCCCGGCCGCGAGGACCACCCTGCGTGGAGAATCCGAAGCGCCCGCTTCGACTAAAGGGCTGCAACACACCAGAGGCAACACAGCCCACCCGCTGCAGAGACGCCACACCAGAATCCCCATCCAAGAGGAAAGCACCATGCACGTTAGGCCAAAATCCCCGGCCGCACCGGGAACATCCACCCGTCGCACGGACGTCCGCCCAGCACGTTAGGCCAAAAACCCCGGCCGCACCGGGAGCATCCACCCTTCGCGCGGACGTCTGCCCAGCACGTTAGGCCAAAATCCCCGGCCGCATTGGGCGTGCTGCAACAACAAGCGGCATACACGTCGGGGTTGCGAATGACGTCAGCGACGTCAGGCCAAAATCCCTGGCCGTGAGGACGACCCTGCGTGGAGCATCCGAAACGCCCGCTTCGACGAAAGGGCTGAAACAGACAGCGGCAACACAGCCCACCCGCTGCAGAGACGCCGCACCAGAATCCCCATCCAAGAGGAAAGCACCATGCACGTTAGGCCAGAATCCCCGGCCGCACCGGGAGCATCCACCCGTCGCACGGGCGTCCGCCCAGCACGTTAGGCCAAAATCCCCGGCCGCACCGGGAGCATCCACCCGTCGTGCGGACGTCCGCCCAGCACGTTAGGCCAAAATCCCCGGCCGCACTGGGCGTGCTACAACAACAAGCGGCATACACGTCGGGGTTGCGAATGACGTCAGCGACGTCAGGCCAAAATCCCCGGCCGCGAGGACGAACCTGCGTGGAGCATCCGAAACGCCTGCTTCGACGAAAGGGCTGCAACACACCAGAGGCAACACAGCCCACCCGCTGCAGAGACGCCACACCAGAATCCCCATCCAAGAGGAAAGCACCATGCACGTTAGGCCAAAATCCCCGGCCGCACCAGGAGCATCCACCCGTCGCACGGGCATCCGCCCAGCACGTTAGGCCAAAATCCCCGGCCGCACCGGGAGCATCCACCCGTCGTACGGACGTCCGCCCAGCACGTTAGGCCAAAATCCCCGGCCGCACCGGGAGCATCCACCCGTCGCACGGACGTCCGCCCAGCACGTTTGGCCAAAATCCCCGGCCGCATTGGGCGTACCACACACCGTCGAGCTTTGCACCGGCTGCATACACGTCGACGCTGCGAATGACGCCAGCCACATGAGGCCAAAAACCGCGTCCACGAGGACCACCCTCCATGGAGCCTCCAGAACCGCCTTCAGCCACGCAGCACACTTGCATTGTATTGATGAGTTTACTGGGCGGGGCCAGCCAGCTCGAACAATTGGCACATGCCATCAGGTTTCCACCTGGAGCCTCAACAAGCGAGGCTCGAGTTTTTTTGCTTGGACTCTCCAAGTCGCCGCGGCTGAACGCAGCTCGAAAAACTGGCACGTAAGGAGCACAGGAGAGGTTCAATGACCTTGCTTGCAGCGGAAGCGAGCTTCGCACCACATTTGCAATGCATTGATGAGTTTACTGGACAAGGCCAGCCATCAGGTTTCCCCCTGCAGCCTCAACAAGCGAGGCTCGAGTTTTTTTGTCTGGGCTCTCCACGTCGTCGCGGCTGAACGCAGCTCGAATAGCTGGCACGTCTAACTGGCACGTCTGGAGCACAGGAGAGGTTCCGGGGCCCGGCTTTCAGGGGAAGGGCTCCACGGAGAGAGAGAAGGCGCGCCCCACGCGCCCCGAGAGATCGCTGCAGGCCCAAACTGTGCCCCAACAGCCGCTCGAGAGGGCGCCCTGCGGCAATCCATGACTTCGTTCATCTGTCTGTCCACCCCATCCCTCCGTCCAGCTTTCGTTCCACCACAGGACGGACGTCGGGCCACAATCCCCGGCCCCCCCTCCAACGCTTCCCCCCCTCTCTCCTCTACACGATCCCACCGTCCATCTTTCCTCCAACCCCTCGGTCATGATCCTTTGGCGCACCCTTACTCGCTCCAGCGCTCACTCTCAGCTTCACTCCTTCCGTTCATCTCTCCCCCATTCCCTCTGCAACAACTGCGCCCCCCCTCGCTCCATTCTCCCGTCCACGCCGCCCCTCCCCATCCAAATCCTCTTCTTCTCCGTATGTTCACGCGTCCTCTTCTCCACTTCTCCCTCTACTCCGTAGTCGTTTGGCTTACCTCTGCGGCGCCTCGCGGCGCCCACCCACCAGGGGTGTCATGGGCGACGTCGCCGCCTCAGCGTCCTACCAGACACGGGCTGATTCAACCGCGGCAACGCTCTTCTCCCCCCTAAGCCGCGCCCTCAAATCACAAGCAAACTGAAAGGTGTGGCAACCCACCCACCCCTCTCAGACCCGTCCTCGACTGCCTCCACCTTTCTGACGCCCTCAGGCGGCTGGAGAGGCGATGGCAGCCGTTCTATCCCAGCAGCTCGAGGGAGTGCGACACCTGCTTCAACGAGTCGATATTCCAGGGGACGGCCACTTCCAGTATCGTTCAATATCGGTCCAAGTTCGAGGGCGAGGATACGGGTTTCAAGGCCACGTGCAGATGCGCCAGCAGGTAATCGAGCACGTCCGCACCCACCAAGCCTATTTCTGCGACTTTTTCGCGGGGTCACGCCCGTCGGCACAGTTATCCAGGTGGCTCTGGCGAGCAGATCACGGCGCTTGGGGGGACAACGTTTCACTGCAAGCAGCTTGTCGGTTTCTGAGCCGACCTATTGCCGTATGGAGGCGCGACTCTGCTCAACAGCCGACAGTCTTGATACCTCCCGGTTACGATGAGTCCAACCCGGCAGACCCGGTGTACCTGGAGCTAGACGAGCGCAGCAGAGGCCATGAACATTATTCCGCACTCCGGCTGGGCCCCGCAGGTCTCGCTTCCCGCAAGAGGTCGTACCGAGATAACCCGGTCTTGCTTCAGAGGGAACGGGAGCGCAACAATACCCGCATGAAGACACAACGTGACGACCCAGTCTCGCTCCAGCGGGAACAGGAACGCAATAATGCCCGCATGAAGACACAACGTGACGACCCAGTCTTGCTCCGGCGGGAACAGAAACGGAACAATGCCCGCATGAAGACACAACGTGACGACCCAGTCTTGCTCCAGCGGGAACAGGGGCGCGACGCTGCTCGCAAGAAGACACAGCGTGACGACCCAGTCCTTCTCCAGCGGGAACAGGAGCGCAACGCTGCCCGCATGAAGACGCAACGTGACGACCCAGTCTTGCTCCAGCGGGAACAGGAGCGCGACGCTGCCCGCAAGCAGACAGAACGCGACCAGAAACGACGTGCTCTTCCTGACCCTGCAGACGCCCTGGCACTGCTGGACCGCCTCCACGAGGAATCCGGCTATCAGGTCTCCAGACACTCTCGGCGCCTCCGCGGCACGTCCGCGACCACGCCCCCCGCAGACCGGCTCGCGCAGCGGATCGCTGACGACGTGCTTCAGTACTGCACTGTCACGGAGGACGACAAGCGCAGACTTGTCTCGTCCTATGCCCACGTGATGTCCCACGACGCTCTCCTGCCAGGCTGCGGGACTTGCGGGCGCCGGGATCCCCAGCACCCCGCCGAAGAGACGTGCACGTTGGAGCCTCTTCCTGCAGACCACTGGATACGATATTCCGACGCCGACATGCAGACGTTGAACAGCATGCCACAGGTGACGTTGGTGAACGAGGATGGCGCCCAACGCGTCGTCGAAACGTCTTTGCTGAAGAGTCACTGGCAGGACCCTCGAGGCAATGTCTTCCACGTCCACCCAGAGCTAGTAAACGACGATGGCGACGGTCAGCACTTCGTGTTCTTGTGCCCTGTGTGCTCTAGAGCAGCCGTCCAAAAGAGCGCACCTCCACCACCTTTCACGATAGCTGCTGGCGTCGACTTTGGCCTCCTCACTCGGCTTGGCATGGATGCCCCTTCCGACCTCGAGGCTCTCGCTCTGGCTGACGTTCGTGCGTACAGTCTCGTGGCCAAAGTTCACGCGCCGCGCAGCCGCGCGACACAGGCGTCCCGTGCCCTGCTCCGCGGCCACATGATCTCCTTCCTCCAAGACGGACCGGCTGTCTTGGGTAAGCACTTCGACGAAGCTAGGTTGGCTAATCTCTTGGCCAACGTGCAGCTGGTGTTCGTGGGGCCCAACGGAAAGACAACGGACCTCGAGCGCCGGGCCCTGGCTGTACCTGCGCTGCAGATGCGCCCGCACGTCCTCTACAACCACCTCGCTGTACGACATGTCCTCGGGCACGTCTCCGACATCAGCCTGCCGTCTGTCGATGACCTGGGAAGCCTGCTCGCGTCCTTGCGAGCGCGGCTCGCTGCCAGGGCTCGGCACGTCGCCGACGACGCCGTTGAACAAGCCAGCAAACCGTCTGACGTAGCGAATGTGAGAGACGTGGCAATGCACGACGACATCCAAGCCGTGCACCTCCCCGCGCCTTCCTCTGAAGATCAGGGCCCGTCAGTCAGCCTTGATCCCGTCGGCGTGCTGGCGCAAACTACAGATCCCGTCACAGGCACCATCCTCGACGGTCTCATGGGCGTCCTACAAGGGGGATCTGATGGGCAGGGCGGCGACGCGCCCGAATCCACCGTTTCTAGGCAGCCGTCGGGCGGGGGCGACGCCGGACTTGGGGACGGAACCGACGACATCCTGCGGGAGCGCACGTGCGCGCGGGAGTTGCGGCCCATGAACGAGTTCACAAATAACGATGATATCCTGTACGGCGCATTCTGGTACCTGTTCCCTTTGCGTCAGGGGCTGCGTTCCAAAGGCTCTGTGAACTTCCACGATTCTCGCCACCTGCTCACGCCGTTCCACAACGCTTTCGCGCAGCAGCCCAGCTTCCTTTTCTTGCTTGCCAATCAGATTCAGAGGCATGCTGCCGCCAAGGGCGTCGGGCTGCGCGTCAAGACTGACCCAGATAGTTTCCAGGCGTTCGCGAGCATGATGGCCGACAAGGACGCCTACATGGAGCGCGTCCGGGCTGCTAAAGAGGACCCGACAAGCAAAGGCGCGAGAGATCTCCTGAAGCAAGTCATGCGTTTCACGGCAACCGCGGGCAAGGTTGTGCCGTGGAGCGGAGAAGAACGAGCTGGTGAGATTACAAAGTTGTACGCCATGTGGCGTCGGTTCGGCCCTGCCTCCGCATTCCTCACTTGCGCTCCCGACGACGTCCACCAACCCAAGGTCAGGGGCCTCCGCGCCACGCGGCCGCCGGTCGCGGCGTCTCTCCGCCGGCGGCAGCGGGGGCTTTCTCCGCGGGGCAGTGGCGACGCGCAGGCCCGTGGGCTGGCTGCAGCGTCTCCGCGCTCTCGGCGATCGGGCCGCCGCGTGCCGTCGGCGGAGATCACCCGCGATCTGGGCGCGCGGGCGCTAGCGCAGAGGCCCTTCTGCAAGGCCATCCAGCTGAGCTACCGCGCTGGCCGGGCCGACGCATTTCCCACTTGTCCAGCGACCCTACTTCCCGTCCTCCGCGGAGATGCAAGCGAAGAGGCCGTCCAGAGATTCTGCGAGGATTCCCTGGCGTGCGCGCCAGATGCCTCGCACGAGTTCGCTTTGGACGAATCCTTCCTGCAGACGCTAGCTACCTTGAACCCAGTGGCCACCACCCTGGTGTACGAACAGATGGCTGAGTCTATATTCACAGAGCTCGTCGGCCTGCCTCCCAACCATCGGAGGAAGAAGACGGTTGACGCAGGGGGCGTTCCGAGAGGCTTCCTCGGCGCGCCTTTCGGCTGGAGCTTCGTGCACGAAACGAACCAGAGGAAGTCTTTCCACTTCCACGCCTCCGTCCACGCCGGCGCGTCCCCCGCGCTTTTGGCTGACGTGGCCGGTTTTCCAGCGTTGCAGGCATTGGTGTGTCGGGCCTTGGACACCGTGTACCGCGCCTACGTCTCCCCGGAGATCCACGCACTGGACCTCGCTCGTCGCCTCCTCCGCCAACCAGCCGCGAGGTTACCGTATTTCCAGACGCGCAGCGTGGAGGGCGACGCAGAAAGCATTTCCTTCGACATCGGCGCTGCCATCACGGCCGTCACGACTGGTTTACATCAACACGCCAGCACGTGCCACAAAGGAGCAGCAGGGAAAGACGGGTGCCGAATGGCCCGACCAGCAGGCCACCCAGTGCCGGAGACGCGCGTGCTGGCCGTCAAGTTAGTCGATGACTCTACCGCGGACATCCCCGACGCCGATGGCGCCGTTGTCGATCAGGGCGGCTGCGCGAACTGGGAGTGCGCCGATTGCCGCGCAAATTCTAAGTTCCATGCTCGCCCTCCCGCGCAGCTGTCCGACAGCAACGCCAGTGCTTGTTTGTCCTATGAGCTCTGCCGACCCCGCATCACCGCTGACGGCGTCGCGTGCCGGACTCTGCGCCAAGTCCTCGGACTCGCTGAAGCAGACGTTGACGCCATGGCTGCCTCGGAGGCGATCAAAATAGTGGCAAGCGTGCGCCGCGAGCTGGGCGACCTGCTCGCGCGTCGGGAATTTCCTTCCACTCTCGGCGATCGCATGGCAGACTGTTCTGAGGAGGAGGCGTTCAAGCTTCTGCGAGCTTGGCGCGGCATGACCTGCCGGAACGCTTGGCTGGTGGAGTGCTGCCCGGTCCTGTCTGGATGCTTGGGCTGCAACGCGGCGCCGTTGCTCCTGGGCGCCGGGGAGTCCGCCAAGGCAGCGGGAATGTACATGTGCAAGTACATGGTGAAAGACGCCTACGAGCTGGCGGCCTCCCTCTCCGTCCTCGCAGACGCCCGAGACCACATTGACCGCTGCCCGTCCAGTGCAGTCGACGCTGACGCAGGCGACAGGGCCGCGAAACACTTCTTGCAACGCGTGCTCAACTCGGCCGCCACGGAGCTCGCCCCCACACAAGCGGCGGCTATCGCTCTGGGTGCGTCTTCCAGTGGCCACTCGCACAGCTTCGTGAACGCCTACGTTTGGGACGCCGTGCACCTGCTGCTGGAGATCCAGCGCGGCGGCTGCCTACTGTCGACAGCGTCAGCCTCGCCGGTCGCCGACGAGGCCCCTTCCGCATGCGCGTCATCCGGAGGCGGGGACCAAGGCGGACGCGCTGAAGGGGACGCCCCGGACATGGTCGACGCGGCCGAGCAGCTGGACGCCCCTGTCCGGCAGGGCACGTGCAGCATCTACAAGACTGTCGACGGGGAGTCCATCGCTGTTTCCCAGGCGGAGCACTACGCACACCGATCCTTGCAGCTTCTGCCCCTCAGCTTTGACGAGTTCGTCATGTCTATGCAGGTTGCCAAGAAGGCGCGCAGAGACCAACGAGACCAGAAACCAGGGAGGCGCCCGAACCCCACCTACGAACTCCTGGAGCCGCACCCCCTGGCAGGGCAGTACGAGATCAAAGCCAAGGCAAAGTTTGACGTGCCCATCTTTGTTGGGCAGCCGCCTCCCCGACTCCCGCCGCTGCTGAAAGACGCGAGGGGAGAGGCCACGGCTGCGCGGCAGCGCAAGGAGCGTTTGCACGCGGAGTACTTCACTGCCGTGTTTGCGCCTTGGCACGCAAGCACCGCCACAGGAGTCGACTGCACGCTCCACGGCTGGCAGGCCTTCCTGGCCGTCTCGAGGCCGAGGCCGCCGGGCGCCCGCCCGCCGCGACTCGAATGCGCGGGAAGACTCCTCCTGTGGAGGACGTCCAGAGTCGGATTGCTCAGGGGCGTCTGTTCCGTATCGAGCAGGTGGGGTATGCACTCACCTCCAGCACAACTCAGGCGAAGGCCATGAACGCATGGCGGAGTCGTAACCGCACGTTGTGGAAGGATGACCCCCTGGGCCCTGCTGCAGACGCGGCCGACGCCGGCCAGGGCGCGCCGTCCAAGAAGGCCGCGGAGGACATCGCGGATCTCAAGGCTCGCGCCGCTCGCAGGGCGGACATTCGAGCCGTCAGTCGGGCCGCCCAGGCCGAGACTTGGGGCGAAGACAACTTCGCGTCTTTACGGCGGCTTTCGGCTGCAGCTTCCTCGAGCGCGACTTCGCCGACCTGGCAGGCAGACGCCCCGTCGCGGACGGGCCGCGTGAGCATGAGGTTCCAGGAGAGTGGGGACAGGTTGGCTGCGGTGCTGCAGACGATCGGCAATCCCCGCTCAGTGGACGAGATTTCCCAGATGGCTTCACGGCGCGCCTCGGACCGCCCCGTCGTCGACGCCGACTCTGTTCCGCGGGTATTCGCAGACGTCACCCAGCAGGAGTTTGCGACCGAGGTGGCCGAATGGACGCGACAGTGCAGGCTCCTTACCGCAGGCGAAGCAAAGCCGCCTCCGCCTCTGAACCCCCCGCAGCGGCAGTTCGCCAGAGATCACCTGGCCGTGCAGCAATGCCTGGCGCGGGCGCGGGCGGCGAACACGTCGCGCTGCACTGCCGCGGACATGTTGGAGGCGGCCGGCCTGTCGCAGATACATCTGCTTCAAGGGGCCGGCGGCGTGGGCAAAAGCGTGCTCCTCGGAGCTATGAAGAGTGTCATCGCGGAGCAGCAGCTGGGCGTCATGGCTATCACTGCGTGGACCGGGGTCGCGTCCGCGCCCTTCGGGTCACCGACGCTGTGCTCCCTCCTGAAGATCGATTTCACCCGCCTGTCGACCGCGACATCTATGACGGATGACGCGATACAGGCTCTTCGGGCGGATTTCACTCAGGCTGTGTGCCGCCCCGAAGACTTGCTGGTCCTTGTCATCGATGAGTGCTCCTTCCTCGTCGCCGAGGCCCTCAGTCACGTCGACGTGCAGCTGCGACGTCTCGTGAACGAGCCAGACGCTCCTTTTGGCGGGATTGCCGTGATCCTCGTGGGCGACTTCTGGCAGAAGCCCCCGCCCGGCGGGATCTCCATGGCCGAGCAGCTCGCCGCGTCGGAGGTCCCCGAGTTGATGCGCGGCCCCGCTCCGCTCGACCCGACCAGCTCGAAGGCCAAGGGCTTGGCGCTCTTCCGACAGGCCCTCGGAACTGGACCAACCCCACCGCCCCCGCCTGTCGCCGGGCTGGCATTAAGCTTGATATTTCATCGCCAGGTCGGCGCCGTTTGGGGCACCCCGTTGCCGAAACGATTCCGCCGAAACAACCCATCATGCGGGAAGAGCGCGCCCCTCGGGCGGGGGGGAGGGGGGGGCGGTCTGGCCAGTCATCAGGCTCGCAGAACGGTCCTCAGTCAGCAGATGCGAGCCGCCGACGACCCGACCTTTCAGAAGGAGTTGCTGCAGCTACGAGACACGAGCTGCCCGACGCCAGTCCCTTCGTCGTTGATCAACCATCTCCGGGAAGTTTCTCCCGATGACGTGCGTTCCGATCCAGCCTGGGCCTTCGCGACCATTGCAGTGCTGTCCAACTACGAGCGGCATCAGCTGAATCGCCTGCAGGTGGAAGCCTTCGCGAAGGCCTTCCAGCTTCCTCTGATCACTTGGAAGTGCCCCTTGACAGGGAAGGCTGCCGAGCTCCTCGACAGATCCGACCTCGACGAGCTCTACGACAACGAGCCCGGGTTGTGGGGGTACTTCGTCAGGGGCGCTCCGGCCATGCTCACCGAGAATATACAGCCCACGAAATTCTTGGTGAATGGGGCATGCGGATACATGCACTCCCTTACGTTGCAGGGGGGCCTGGGGGAAGATCTTGATATAGGCTGGCGGCGACCAAAACGGCAACAGTGAAAGAGGGCGGCGCGTCCGCGCGCGGGGCCTTGTGCTTGAAAGCGCGCCCGGCGCATTCTCGGACCGCCGCCCTCTGACCTGCGCCCGTGTTGGCACGCCGCCGCGAAGGCGAGCCCTGCCTCGAGTTTCGCAGGGTTGTGCTGGAGGAACCCCCGCTGTGCATCAATTTTCAACTCTCTCTTCCAGACGGCGACGATGGCGCGGGGATCGAGAGCCTCGTGGACGACGCCGTCGTGGTACCCATTCTCTGCAGCAAGCATCCGCAGGAGCATGACATGACGTCCCTGTTCTCCTGCGTCAAGGCCATGCCCAAGAACGTCCGGTATCGCGGCCACGCGATCACGCTCGCCTTCGCCGTGACAGATTACAAGCTGCAGGGGAAAACCAAGGACAACCTCATCCTGAGCATCGCGCCGCGGCCTTTTCCGCCACATTTGGATCTGAAGGGGTTCTACGTCGACGTCTCCCGCGTGCGCAAGCGCAGCGGCCTGCGGGTGCTGCGTCTGCCGCCGCAGAGGATGGGCGGACTCAAGCACCTGTACAAGCTGCGCCACACGCGCGAACTGTCAGCCTGGAACGCAGGCGAGGGGCAACGAGAGGGGGCGGGGGTCAGCTCACTAACTGAAAACACGATGTCGAACTCACGATAGATCGGCGACGGGCCCCCGATAACCAAACCGTACGTTTCTGGGCGGGGTGAGCCAGCTAGCCCCCGATCGACGATAACTGTGCGATTTGGAGTCGATGCATTCCCCCTGAGCTTATCCCCCCCCCCATCGTTGCCCCTCAGCAGGGTATGACGCCAGCGGGAGTTGGAGTCGGCGGCTGGCGGGCGCAGCGCTGAAGAAGCCTGCCGTGAAACCGTCCAAGACCAGGAAGTCAGTCGTGAAGCGATAGCTCTTCGCTCGGAGCGGGTTGGTCAACATCCCGCCAGACGGGCGACCCCCCCCCCGCTCTCCCCCGAATTCTGAGATGCTCCGCTGCCAGACCCCGGCCGCGCGCACGTGCCAATTAGCTCCCCTGGGAACGGAGGGAGGAGGTCGGGGGCACCCGTGCCAGAAAATGTGCCTCGTACGTCTCGCCCCCGTCATGGCGTGCAAGGCCGCAGCAGGATCCCGAGCCTCCCCTGGGTGCAGGAGGCGCTACCGCCTCGCCGCCGACGCGCGGACATCGTTCGTTCTGACGCCATTTCTGTTCAAGCCGCGCGGGTTTACGTGAACCGTCGCCGCTGTCCTCGCCTGCCGCCCCGGCCCCCTGACCCGCTCCGATGTCGGACCCGCTGGAGCAGATCAACAACACCAACGCCGCTTCCAAAGTGTTCCAGGCACGCGTGCTGTTTCCGGAGGGGCGGGAGATCAAGGACAAGAACATGACCGTCTTCGCGTGCACCCTGGTTTCCAAATCCGGGCTGTACACGCAGGGCGAGGCCATCCTGTTCGGCCAGGAACAGCAGCGCGTCAAGGCGCGGGAGGCGCTCCAGAAGAAGTACTTGGATGGCGCGGTGTTCGAGTTCTCCAAGATGAAGATGCAGACTAAGAAACCTCAGTTCCAGTCGTGCCCCCACGCGTTCACCCTGAACCTCGGGCACAAACCGCTCGCCGCGAAGAAAATCACGGGCGCCGCTGCCACCGAGATCCCCGCGGAGGCAGAGCCACCGATGACCACCGTGAACTTGCTCGACCTGGAGACCGGCCAGCTGATCGACGCCACGGCTGTCGCCACCAACATCAAGGGCCCCGCGGGAGCGAAGGAGGGCAAGACGACCATCACCGTGACTCTCTCGGACGCCTCGGGGAATGAGATCCCGCTCGCGTACTGGGAAGACACCCACCACCTGGCGAAGGGCATCGAGACCTTCAAGCCGCTGTATATCTACGGCGCTTATCTCGTCGTGGAGGAGTCCGGGGGTCGCCACCTGACGGCGCGCAAGACCACGCGCGTGCTCGCGGCGTCCTGCGCCCAGCCCATCGCGAAGGAGCTCGGGAAGGCCGACTTGAAAGCTCTGCCGACCGAGAACAAGGAGAACCTGTCCAAGTGGGAGGGCGGTCGGAACTGGGAGGAGGGGCCAGCCTGCAGCGCCCATGCGGGCATCCTGGAGTGCGCCGCTCACTTCAAGCGACCGCTTGCCGAGACGCTCTTCGAGATCTCTGGCGCCCTGATCTCCCTGCAGAGCGGCGACGCGGAGGACCTCCTCACCAAAGACCAGACACGCATCTGGGCGAAGGTCGACATCGCCGATTATGCAAACACCGTCACGGCCGACATGACGGAGAAGGTGGCTCTGATGCTCACGGACACGCAGGACAAGGAGGACTTCCTCGAGCAGGCGAAGTCTGGCAGCCTGGTGTTCTCGAGGGCGCGCCTGCGCGTGCGCTTCGACACCCCCAAAGACGGCGCCGATCCGTCCCTCAGCGTCGTGGCCGCCATCCGCCGGGACTTCGATCTGCCAGAGACCAACCTCGTCCCTCCCAGCGACGCGCGCCTGGTGCCGTCGCAGCTGGACTGGGCCTCATCCTCCCCCAGCGGCCTCATCAGCATCACGCTCCCAGAGGGCGGTGGCCGGCGGCTGGCGACCGGCATCCTCGCGTTGATCGTCGGCGCCAAGGAGCCGAAGACGGAGCCTTCCGCCGACGGCTTCACTATCCGCAACTACGTCACGGAGGCTTGCGGCGACCACCCCGATCAGCCGTGGGAGACCGTGACGTCCGCTCCAGCAAGCCGGTTGGCATACTTCGCTCTCCCCCGGAAGGAGGTGGCCCTGGTGCGCGTGACCCACATCGACGTCTCCGGGAAGGTGGTCACCGTCGCCGACATGTGGAAGCAGCCCACTGGCATGTCGTTCGACGCGTGGAAGGCGGAGATGAAGGCCACGGTGGAGCTCCTCAAGAAGCCCGTCCACAGTCTGAAAAGGAAGCGCGAGGATTTCGACCCGCACTTGCAGGGCATGCTTAAGCCCAAGCGCGTGCACACCACGTTCGGAGAGCCAGCTGCGGCTGAGGAGATGTGAGCCCCGCGGTTCGGCATGCTCTGGCGCGTCCCCGCGTCAGTATCGCCCCTCTTCTGCCCGCTGGGCGTCGAGCGGGATCTCTGGGGGTGCTCGGCAACATCGCATATTTACGCTGAGCCGGATGTCCGAGGGTACCGAGTAGGACATGCCGCCAGATTGTGTTCAGGAAATGCTGCCCCACTCCTTCTCTTCCCCTCCCTCCCTCCTCCTCCCCCTCGCTGCCTCCTCGATCCTCCCCTGCCGTTGTTTTCCTCGTGGCCCTCGTTCTCGCCCTCCTCGCCCGCGTAACTCGCAGCCCCACCGCCAGGACGAGGAGGAAGGAGGGTGGGGGCGAGGACGAGGACGCGGAGGAGGGCATGTGGGCAGCATGGTGGAACAAACAACGGTGGCAACAGCCCGCCGCCGCACACGCGTCAAGCTCCAACTCTCCACCCAACGCCGCCGCGCACGTCAGGCCAAAATCCCCGGCCACGTCGGGGGCACCACGTCAGGCCACAATCCCCGGCCGCACCGGGGGCACCACGTCAGGCCAAAATCCCCAGCCGCGCGTGGGGCCATAATCCCCAGCCGCACCGGACCCCCCGGCCAAGAGCACGTCAGAGCATAGTCCCCAAACCCACCAAGAGCATCAGACCCGTGCAGCATCGCAAGATCTCTGCAACGTGGCGCGTGCTGCAACAACCGTCGGTGGCAACAGCCACCCGCCGCACACGCGTCAGGCTCCAACTCCACGCCCAAGGCCGCCGCGCACGTCAGGCCAAAATCCCCGGCCGCACCGGCGGCACCGCGTCAGGCCAAAATCCCCGGCCACGCGTGGAGCCGTAATCCCCAGCCGAGCCAGACCCCCCGGCCAAGAGCACGTCTGGCCAAATCCCCAACCGAACCGAAAGCATCACCCACAGTCAGGCATCGTGGGATCTCTGCAAAGAAGCGGTTGCGGCAACAATCAACGGTGGCAACAGCCACACGCCGCGAACGCGTCAGGCCCCAACTCCCCACCAAACGCCGCCGCGCACGTCGGGCCAAAATCCCCGGCCGCACCGACAGCACCACGTAAGGCCGAAACCCCCTGCCGCACCGGGGGCACCACGTACGTCAGGCCAAAATCCCCGGCCACGCGTGGAGCCGTAATCCCCAGCCGCGGCGGACCCCCCGGCCAAGAGCATGTCAGGCCAAAATCCCCAACCGCACCGAAAGCACCACTCACCGTCCAGCATCGTCGCGGGATCTCTGCAACGAGGCGCGTGCTGCAACAACCGTCGGTGGCAACAGCCACCCGCCGCGCACGCGTCAGGCTCCAACTCCCCACTCAAATCCGCCGCGCACGTCGGGCCAACTTCCCCGGCCGCGCCGGGAGCACCACGTCAGGCAACAATCCCCGGCCGCACCGAGAGCACCACGTCAGGCCAAAATCCCCGGCCACGCGTGGAGTCGTAATCCCCAGCCGCACCCGACCCCCCGGCCAAGAGCACGTCAGGCCAGCTGCAACAACCATCGGCTGCAACAGCCACCCACCGCACACGCGTCACGCTCCAACTCCACGCCCAATTCCGCCGCGCACGTCAGGCCACAATCCCCGGCCGCACCGGCGGCACCTCGTCAGGCCAAAATCCCCAGCCGCGCGTAGGCCCGCAATCCCCAGCCGAACCGGACCTCCCGGCCAAGAGCACGTCAGGCCATTATCCCCAACCGCACCAAGAGCATCACTCACCGCCCAGCATCGCGGGATCTCTGCAACGTGGCGAGTGCTGCAACAACCATCGGTTGCAACAGCCACCCGCCGCACACGCGTCACGCTCCAACTCCCAACCAAACGCCGCCGCGCACGTCGGGCCAAAATCCCCGGCCGCACCGAGAGCACCACGTCAGGCCGAAATCCCCTGCCGCACCGGGGGCACCACGTGCGTCAGGCCCAAATCCCCGGCCACGCGTGGAGCCGTAATCCCCAGCCGCACCGACCCCCGGGCCAAGAGCACGTCTGGCCAAAATCCCCAACCGCACCGAAAGCATCGCTCACCGTCCAGCATCGTCGCGGGATCTCTGCAACGAGGCGTGTGCTGCAACAACCGTCGGTGGCAACAGCCACCCGCCGCACACGCGTCAGGCTCCAACTCCCCGGGCCGCACCGGGAGCACCACGTCAGGCCGCAATCCCCTGCCGCGCCGGGGGCGCCACGTACGTTAGGCCAAAATCCCCGGCCACGCGTGGAGCCGTAATCCCCAGCCGCGGCGGACCCCCCGGCCAAGAGCACGTCAGGCCAAAATCCCCAACCGCACCGAAAGCATCACTCACCGTGCAGCATCGCGGGCTCTCTGCAACGAGGCGAGTGCACCACGTACGTCAGGCCAAAGTCCTCAGCCGCGCGTGGGTTTAATCCCCATCCGCAGCCCGCCGCGCACGCGTCACGCTTCAACTCTTCCCCGAAACCCGCCGCATACGTCAGGCCGACATCCTCGGACGCACCGGGAGCACCGCGTCAGGCCAAAATCCCCGGCCGCAACGGGGGGCACCACGCGCGTCAGGCCAAAATCCCCGGCCGCGCGAGGGACCCAAATCCCCAGCCGCACTGGGCCCCCCGACGCGCGTCAGGCTCCAACTCCCCACCCAACTCCGCCGCGCACGTCACGCCACAATCCCCGGCCGCACCGGGAACACCACGTCAGGCCAAAATCCCTGGCCGCACCGGCGGCACCACTTACGTCAGGCCAAAATCCCCGGCCACGCGTGGACCCGTAATCCCCAGCCGCGCCGGATCCCCCCGGCCAAGAGCACGTCAGGCCAAAATCCCCAACCGCACCGAAACCATCACTCACCGACCAGTATCGTCGCGGGCTCTCTGCAACGAGGCGCAACAACCGTCGGTGGCAACAGCCACACGCTGCACGCGAATCAGGCTCCAACTCCACGCCAAACTCCGCCGCGCACGTCAGGCCAAAATCCCCAGACGCACCGGGAACACCACGTGAGGCCAAATTCCCCGGCCGCACCGGGAGCAACACGTACGTCAGGACAAAATCCCCCGCCGCGCGTGAGACCCACATACCCAGCCGCACATGAACCCCCGGCCAAGAGCACGTCTGGCCAAAATCCCTAACCGCACCGAAAGCATCGCTCACCGTCCAGCATCGTCGCGGGATCTCTGCAACGAGGCGCGTGCTGCAACAACCGTCGGTGGCAACAGCCACCCGCCGCACGCAGGTCGGGCTCATGCTCCCCACCCAACTCCACCGCGCACGTCAGGCCAACTTCCCCGGCCGCACCGGGAACACCACGTCAGGCCAAGATCCCCGGCCGCACCGGGAGCAACACGTACGTCGGGCCAAATTCCCCGGCCACGCGTGAGACCCACATACCCAGCCGCACCTGACCCCCCCGGCCAAGAGCATGTCAGGCAAACATCCCCAACCGCACCGAAACCATCACTCACCGTCCATAGTATCGTCGCGGGATCTCTGCAACGAGGCGCGTGCTGCAAGGACCACAGGTTGCAACAGCCACAAGCCCCGCGCGCGTCAGGCTCCTGGCCGATAGAGAGGACAGACCCCGAGGCGAACCTCTCGAACACCTCCGTCGATGAGCGGGCTGCAACACTGTCCAGCGACACTGGCACCCACCGCAGACACGTCAGGCCAATATCCCTGGCCGCACTCACCATCGAGCACCACCCGCCCATCGTCAAGCATCGCGAACCTCTCCTTCTCCTCTGCCTCGTCCTCCCTCCTCCTCCTCCTCCTCCTCCTCCTCCTCCACCGCCCCACGTCCATTCCGCTGGATCTAGACAGATTTTTCTTCGTTGACTGTGGCATTCTCGATTCGGGACGCTTCTCTGCAACTGCGCTTCGCCGAAAGCCTTCCGGGGGCGCCCGAGCCGACTCGAGCGGCCGCTGGAGACCCGGGCTCTGGCCACAGAGCCGCTCGAGAGAGGGCGTCATGCGCCAATCCATTTCTCTCTTCATCCTTCTCCCCTCCCTCCCTCCCTCCCTCCCTCCATCCCCCATTCACCACAGGACGGACGTCAGGCCAAAGTCCCTGAGGCCCTTCCTGCCTGGCCCGCTCCTCCGTTCCGACCCTCACGACCCCTCTGCGCACCCTCCCTTCTTCCACGCCTCACTCTTACCTCCCCCCCTCTCTCCTCCTCTCATCTCTGCCCCCTTTCCCCTTCAATATCTGCGTCTCCCCTCCCTCCTTCCATCTTTCCCTGCATGCTTCTCTCACTCCTCCCCCACTCTCTCTCCATCATGCTTCCCTCATTGCTTCCCTCCCTCCTCCCTTCAACTTTCTGTCCCTCCCATCCCTCCGTCGAGCCTTCCCTTTCCTTCCTCACTCTCCCCCAAGCCGCCCGCTTTCTTTCCCTTCTCACCCTCCGCTGCCGCTTCGATTGCCCAAGATTCTGAGTGTAGCCGCTGGTACCTTTCGCCTGGAGCTTCGTTCGTGCCGCCCCGGAGTTCCGCCACAGGCCCATGCCCGCATCAGGTCGCTTCGAGGGGGTAGTCAAACTTCTCCACGGGTACGTCACCGTTCGGCAGGCCGTGAGATTAGGGCGTGCCAAGCACTACACGCAGGAACAGCTCACGGAGCACTTGGTCAAGGTGTGCCAAGGCGGGCCGAAGGGCGCAGGCATGCCTCTTCTGCGCCAGATTGCGGGGAAGCTGCGATCGAAAGCACGCCAAACACGGAAGTGGGGGAACGTCAAGAAGAAGGACGACAAGGTCGCTGTTCTTCTGCACGCCCGCGCCCCTGTCGAGTGGGCGAGTCGGAACCGGTGGACGCAAGACTCCATCAGGACCCTCGTCGCAGAGAGTTTCCGGGCGAGAGCTGTCTGTGTGACGTCAGACAGGTTCGAGCCCGCAACGACGCCGTCCACAGCAGTGCCGCGGGCACAGAGGCCATGGTCGCTCTATGGCTGTGCTGTGACCGACGCCATCGCTCTTGCGAAGCACTGGCGTTGGGTCACGGAACACAAGAAGTTCTTGGCCGCCGACTTCCGCGTGTCTCCGGAGGCGCCGCTGGACCACTCCACGCTGCAGAAACACTTCTCTGTGGGGTACTTCATACCGTCGGCCCCGCCACTCCGCCCGCCCCCTTTTTCCCCCGATGGCATTCCGACGCGCGCCCCCCAGCCTGGAGCATCCGATGTCTTGGGTGCATTTTTTCAACGCCCCAAGGCGCACCCGACCAGCGCCCCGACCACCGACCACCAGCGCCCGACTCGCCGCGCCCGCCGCCACGCGGCAGCCCCCACCCAGCAATCGAGAAGAACACAAACCAAACTGTGGAGACATCTGTCGGAGTCTCTGGCCTCCCGCACCGACGCGAGCCCCAACCGACGCGGAGGCGCGGCATCTTGAACCACTCCCCAAGCTGACTACTGCGTCAACTTCGTTTCCGCCGTGGCTCATCCACCCTCCGCCTCGGATTTTCCCGATGAGATCGAGCTGCTCCGCGCTTCCCTATGGGCGACGCTGCGGGCTCCTGCCGCCCAGAAGGCGCGATGGTTCAGCGTGACGCGCGTCGGTTCGGTGGCGGCTCGCGCTGGACGCACTCGGAACGGTTTGTTGCTGCGGGCGCGCTCGTCGTGAGCGAACAAGCGCAATGCATACCCTTTTCACGCATACCGCGCAGCGGTCAAAACCATAGCGGTGACGTGCCACACCGCCGTCCGAGCTGTGAGTCTCTCCTGCCGGGGTCGCAGAGTGGGGCGTCTCGCCCGCTCGCTGGCCCCTCCCCCCTCTCAGTCGCACTTGCGCCAGGGGGATTCGTCTTTGCACTAGCCCCGTACATGAGGCCCGCTCTGCCGCCAATGAGCGCCGGCCAGTGCAGCGTGCTGCGCGGCCGGGAACCCGCGGTCCGATTGGTGCGTCTCTCCTCCGGCCACCTCGAATTCGATCCGCCTGCTAGCTCGCCTGCGCGAGCTCGCGGTCGCGCCACCAGATCCTGACGGACGTCCACCACGCAGCTGGCAACACTGCGGTGGAGCTCGGGCCGTCCTTGGGCACGGGGGTGACCCTCGGCCGCGCGCCCCTCGCGCCAGCTCTCCAGAAGAGGCTGGTGAAGCGCCTGAACTCTTCCGGAGCTTTCCGGAAGCAGTTCGGGGGCCGGGTCACTCGCGTAACGCTCGGGCACCTGGTTTGCGAGGCCCGCCAAAACGTGTGGGCCCCAAAAGGACCGCGCTTTTTCTCGCGCTTGCTCGCCGAACTGGCAAGCAGCACTGGGACACCCGCGACAGAGCGGCGATCCTACTGCGCCGAGATTGCACGCTACGCTGTGGGGGATGGTGCGATGGGGTCCGGGCACCAAACAAAATGAACGCCCTAGTTCTGTTATCCCCTTGATGCTCCGCTCTGCCATCCTTCTCCTTCCTCGCTCTGTCACCTATCCGGATTGCCCAGCCCCGCGCCCCCGGGAAGGGGGGGAGGAGCAGGAGGAGGAGCAGGAGGAGGAAGAGGAGGAGGAGGAGGAGGAGAAGGAGGAGGAGGAGGAGGGGGAGGAGGAGGAGGAGGAGGAGGAGGCCGGCAGAAAAGCAGGAAGAGGAATATGAGGAGTGCTGCACAGCCCAATGGGGCCGCGACGGCTGCAGGCGCAGGGCCCCACGTGAAACGGAAGCATAGTGTATCTTTCCGGAAATGCCCTGCTGCCGATTGAAAGGTGGGCGAAGTGGCAAGAGTCTGTGGTCTTGACACCCCAAATGGTGGAGCTCCCATCTCTCTTCGCGCCCTGCGTTGGTATCATCATGCATGTGTTGCGTATATATAGACCCCAGAGGCGATTAATGCGTGCTCGTCGTCGTTCGCGATTTTTCTATCCGTTTCGATGGGGACATCCTGGAAATTCTGCAAGTCGGCGGCACCCCTCACGCATATGGTGACGTCAGGGTCCGAAGACACATAGGAATTTGAACATTCCAACATAAAACCAAAGCGTTTTGCAACGTCAATGATTTTGACCCCGATGCTCAGAGAATGACGGTTTCCCTTGCGACACCCTCCAAAAATCAAGCCCCGACGTACCCTCTGGTACCCCAGACCCCGCCTCGGAGCCCCCTGGGAGCCTCCTGGAACCTCCTCAGCCTTCTGGGGCCTCCTGGGGCCTCCTGCGGCCTACTGGAGCCTCTTGGGGCCTCCTGGAGCCCCCCGGGGTCTCCCGGGGCATCCTGACGCCTCCTTGTTCATCAGATGCGCAGACAGAGGCGCAAATCACACCCAAAACACACTAGACAGACAGAACGCACACACACACACAAACACACACACACACACACTCACACTCACACACACACGCACACAACACCCACAACGCACAGAAACCACGCACGACACAGAGCACGCATCACACACACGCACAGCGCTCACAAAGCTCACAAGCAACGCGACACGAACCTAACACTAATTTCACGCATACCACACATGGTACGTTGACCACGCACGCACACCACACATACGCACATCACACGCACCACACACAGAGAGAACATACACACACAACTCATACAACTCATGCGACAAGTACACGACGCATACACACACCTCGCAGGCGTTATTGTATGAGCCTGAGCACGCACGTGCCACTTGTATATATATATATATATATATATATATATATTCTCATACGCACCTCTCCGAGGGAGTAGAGCTCAGAGGCGATTAATGCGCACGCGTCCGCGATTTTTCTGGGCGTTTCGCTCGGGACATCCTCGAAATTCTGAAAATCGGTGGCCCCCCTCACGCAGATCGTGACGTCAGGGTCCAAAAACACATGGGAGCTTCAACATTTTACCATACAACCTTCAAAAACACATGGCAATTTCAATAATTGTGACCCCGATTTTCAGGGAATGGCGGTTTCGCTTGAAAAATCCTTGCAAAATCGAGCCCCAGACCCCGCCTCGGAGCCTCCTGGGGGCCTCCTGGAACCTCCTGGGGCCTCCTGGGGCTTTCTGAACCTTCTGGCACCCCAGACCCCGCCTCGGAGCCTCCTGGGGGTCTCCTGAAACCTCCTGGGGCCTCCTGGGGCCTCCTGCGGCCTCCTGGAGCCTCTTGGGGCCTCCTGAAGCCTCCTGGGGTCTCCTGGGGCCTCCTGAGGCCGCCTGGGGCTTCCTGGGGCCTCCTGGGGCTTCAGAACTACATGCACACAGAGACACAAATCACGCCCAACACATCACACGCTAGACAAACATAACACACACACACAACACCTACAACACACAAAAAGCACGCACCACACAAAGCATACATCACACACACACACACGCAC